AAAAAAAAAAAAAGAAAACACTCCCCATATATCCATTCACCGGCTTCTACCGTAAAAATGATGCTTGACTAATTTTAAACTTCATGTCAAGTTATTTATCACATCTGAAGAAGTAAATAAAACTGACAACTTCCGTATAGCGTTGCAAAGAGAGCCCTCGTAATCTGATTGGTTGTTGGTATTCGTCACGCACCATGCCGCGTTTTGATTGGCCGAATTATTTGTTGTCTTCAGAAACCGGAAGCAGCGCTAACCTTGATATGCGAGCAAAACACACGTGCTGCTAGGTTATTAATTAAGCTTTAGATTAAACGATAATGCCAATTTAATCGATCATATTTACCAGGACGACTATAGGATCTTTCAGTATTTTACCGACAGTGATTACGGTTCTCTGCTGATATTTTAGTGTACGAAAACTCTTGTCTTTTAGCTAGCTAAATCAATGGCTAACACTTGACTTTACTGCACTCCTTGGACTCAAATATCTTCGGTAGACTTCATGTGGACGTCCCCTTCTCTCCAATGATGAGGACCCCTTTTCTGTTTGTCACCAGAAGCTGTCAGGCTGTTCACAGGCTGCAACAAAACCCATTTTTCTCACCGGTTTCAGCTCTGTCGAGACACCAGAGGATCTCTGCGTTGAAATACACGAGCACCCACTTCTGCAAAGACGACAGGAGCTACTACATAACCACTCCCATCTTCTATGTCAACGCTTCTCCTCATTTAGGACACCTGTATTCAGCTGTGATAGCCGACTGCTTACACAGGTACAAGCTGCTGCAGGGCTTCAACTCAAAGTTTGCAACAGGTAAATCCTCCATTGACCAAAATATATGTAACAGTTGGTGCTGTTGAGGGTTGTTTTCTTTTGTATATTACAGTCATTGTAAAGCTTATATTATGAATCGGTGCACAGCAATTATAATATGTGTGTAAATATGACATTCCTAATAGAACCAAAGAGATTGACGGACAATTGGAAACAAGTTTCATAGTCAGTAAAGTCATTTTTCAAGCAAAACTTTTGATAGTTCCAGCTTTTCACAGATGAGAATTACTGTTTCTTCTCTTTTATATCATTGTAAAGTCAATACCTCTAGTTTTTGGACTATTAGTCATACAAAACAAAGAATTTTAATGGTCACTTTTATCAAATTTTGCCATTTTATAGACAATAAATCAAAATACTAAGCAAATAATAATAATACACCCTATTATCTTGCATCTCAGGTACAGACGAACATGGCTTGAAAATCCAACAAGCTGCTGAAGCTGCGGGAAAAGATCCCCTGACCTTCTGTACCGATGTGTCTGAGAAATTCAAACATCTCTTCGGCAGCTGCAACATATCATATACAGACTACATAAGAACCACTGAGCAGAGACACCGTCATGCTGTGGAGCATTTCTGGTCAGTACTCAGGAACAAAGGGCTCATCTATAAGGGGAGTTATGAAGGCTGGTACTCCACCCAAGATGAAAGCTTCCTCACGGCATCGCAGGTGGCCGATGCTTTGGACTCTCAAGGGACGGAGATCAAGGTATCGCAGGAGAGTGGCCACAAGGTAATTTGAGCGAACATTAGGATGATAGCACAAGTGTGATTTAGTGGAGATGAATGAGTGTACACTTTAAAAGGCATGAGCGGTTACCAGGCAGGGAGGGTGCCATTGAGTTGCATCATGGTAAATGTAGAACCTTGTGTTTTTTGTTGCTTTTAGGGACTAACTTCAGTCACATCTCTACTGTTTTACAGGTGGAGTGGATGAAAGAGGAGAACTACATGTTCCGTCTGTCTGCGTTTCGGCCTCAGCTGCTTGACTGGCTCAGAGAGAATCCCAGGGCCGTACAGCCTGAGCATTTCTACCAGTCTGTCCTCCATTGGCTGCAGGAGGACCTCCCTGACCTCTCTGTCTCCCGGCAGAGAAGCCGCCTCCAGTGGGGCATCCCGGTGCCAGGCGACAATGAACAGACCATCTATGTGTGGCTAGATGCTCTGGTGAACTACCTCACAGTAGCTGGCTATCCAGATAAACATGACCAGTGGTGGAACGTGGCCCACCACATTGTCGGAAAGGACATTTTAAAATTTCATGCCATCTACTGGCCTGCTTTTCTTCTAGGGGCCGGACTGCCGCTGCCACAGACGATACATGTGCACTCCCACTGGACAGTAGGAGGAAAGAAGATGTCTAAGAGTTTAGGTAATGTTGTAGATCCTCTTGAACGCTCACAGATGTTCACAACTGATGGTATGAGGTATTTTCTTCTGCGTCAGGGTGTCCCAGACTCAGACTGTGATTACACAGACAACAAAGTTATCAAGCTGCTCAACGCAGAGCTCGCTGACTCTCTGGGTGGTCTGCTGAACCGCTGCACAGCTCCAGCTCTTAACCCAGCTCAGGTCTATCCCCTTTTCTGCCCTCAGTCGTTCGGAAGGGAACAGGGAGGCAGGGCTGTGGTTGAAGACTACCACATGTTGGATGCTGTGAAAAATCTCCCCACTGTGGTGGAGCAGCACTATGAGAGCATGCATGTGTACAAAGCTCTGGAGGCCATCAGTGCCTCTGTGAGGCTCACCAACGGGTTCGTTCAGCGTCATGCACCTTGGAAGCTGGACAGATCGGACAGTAAAGACCAGCGCTGGTTGGACACCATCATCCATGTCTCCCTCGAATGCCTGAGGATTTATGGCACACTCCTCCAGCCAATAGTGCCAGAGATTTCTAACAAGCTGCTGTCCAGACTTGGGGTGCAACCAGGCGAGAGGAGCTGGGCAGACGTGAACTTCCTGCCGAGGTATCAGGGAATGGACTGTCCCTTTGAGGGGAGAGCACTAGGATCTGACTCTGGTGTGCTTTTTAGTCGCTTGGAAAGTGAGAAGGCAGATAAACAGAAACCTACAAAAACAAAGAAGGCAGCAAACTAGACATGAGGGATTGTTTTATATAATTCCCTGTTCACCACTTCAGTCAATAAAGAAATAAAAACTATTGTGGCTGTTTTCACTTCATCTTCTCAAGATCTGTTAGATGGTAACAACTCTGCTTCATCAATATCTCCCACACCCTCCCTTTTATTTTCCTGTCAACTGTCAGGGGCCCTATATCGTCAAAGGTCTAGTGTGTAGGATTTAGTGGCATCTAGTGGTGACGGTGCAAATTGCAATCAACTGAAACCTTCCATGTGCCAAGCGTGTGCAACTGTGTTGGCTGATGCAAATGACCCAATCTAGAGCCAGTGTTTGATTTGTCCATTCTGGGTTACTATTAAAACAACATGGCTCACCCCATGAAAGAGGACCTGCTCCATATGTTGATATACGTCTCTCTCGAAGGTGATGAAAACAATTCTTAGTTTCAAGTGATTATACACTAAAGAAAACAGAATTAGGAATATTATATTCAATTTCTGCCAATAAATCCCCCTAAATCCTACACACTGAACCTTTAACAATTCGATTAGTGAGTTAAGTCTGATGACATCACATCATAGCAGGAAAAGCCCACGAACACCGTCATTTGAATTGGAATCAATTAATGGCCAATTAATCATCTCAACAGGAGATGTAATAGTTGCCATAATTTAGAATCACGAGACTTTGACCATGTCACTTTAAACTTGTCTCACATAGCCAGACCTATTTTCTTGCTTTGTTTTAACGGTATCATAATTCTTCGTACACTTAAAACTAATCCTAACAGCACCATGCCCAGGATGAACAACAGTGACAGAAGCAAACTTTTTTTGGACGAACACTGGGAGGCAAATCAATAGGATTAAGATAGCACCACGTAAAATATTAAAAGATGCAATGATGTAATAAAAGTATTGACAGGTGCATACAAACTTACCCCCTCCAAAACAGTCTCCAGAGTTTACAAAAATGTAATGGAGGGAATACTTTGCATGTGAAACTGAAATGGGAAGTAGAACTGATTACTGATCTGCAAACCTCCACCAGCTCCAAAAGATGGAGAGAATTTGGCTGAAAGAATAGATTTTTTTTTCACACCATATACAAAATCAAACAATCAGGGAAACAACAGCACTGCTGGAGACTCTGTGGCCAGGCAAATGCCAATCACTCACATATATTTTGGTTATGTATGAACTACAAACATTATGGGATGGGATTATTCTGATTCTTGAGAGTTTTAGGTTACAAGATCCAAAGGGACCCACGGATTGTGTACTTGGGATTAATAACAGGACGTTATTCATTAAAAGGATGCTTATCTGTTCAAAATCTGTATACTGGCATGCAAAAAGGCCAGCACTAGGACACATGACCCTCCAACTCCAAGACAATGGATGGACATTGTAGAGGAACTATATTCCATGGGGAAAATACCTGACCTTTCACCTGAGGACTAAAGCAAGGACACGTGTGCAGCGCTGGAATAAAGTGACAGACTATAAGAGAAATGAGGCATTGTTTAGTCAGGTGGTCTGAAGACATTTATCAAAAAGTTGTAAACGAAGGCAGTGGTCCCCCCTCCAATGTTTTGTTAATTGAATGTTTGAAAAATTAAAGTTTAACAAAAGAACATTAAAAGGTGTTTCGCATGTAGGTTGCTAGCTTGAAAATTGTTGTTTTATGCACAGCAATACAACAAGCGTGGAGATAGGAATGGCTATGTAAGACTAGTTTTACATAGCAATGGGGAATTTAAAAACAGACAAACAGGTGATGGAAAGGGAGAAGAATTCCATCTCAAATAGGGAGCCAATGGCGGACTTTACACGCAGTCTACATCCTGCGAGTCAGACTAGTTACTCTCGTGTGCAGGATTTAGTGGCATCTAGTGGTGAGGTCGCAGACTGCAACCAACTGAAACTTCTCCCATGTGCCAAGCATGTTGAAGAACTATGATGGCCAACACAAACATGCAAATGGCCCTATCTGGAGCCAGTGTTTGGTTTGTCTGTTCTGGGCTACTGTAGAAACAACATGGAGGACTCCGTAGGAGAGGACCCGCTCCATATGTAGATACAAATAGCTCATTCTAAGGTAATGATGACACTCTTCTTAGCTTCCGGTGATTGTATACTGATAAAAACATAGTTCGGAATATTGTATTTCATTTCTGCCACACACCAAACCTTTAACACTGACTTATTTTTTTTCGGATGACAGCAAACTTGTCTGATAGAACAAATCCTTTGATCCCCACTTCATCATTGAAT